AATTAACGTAAGTCACAGTTTGATTTACTGCTGTGTCGATTGTCTAATCCTAAGTGATGGAGGAAATGTTAGTAAACCAGATTAAACGTAAAAAGTGTTTCCTGAACATAACTGTCACATTGTGAGCAGCATAAAAAATCGTGGAAATATCTTTACAGTGTTCAGCAGCTGTCACCTGACCCGGAAGAGAGGCTGCTCTCACGTCACCGCCCTGACAGATGAGAGAAATTTTAGTATGTCTCCACTGTACCACTGCCTTCCCACCAGTTAAGGTAACTAAGAGTATCAACCACCGTTCGCGTTTGGCCACACTCATTTGTCAGTCTGTCAGTTGCAACCATGATTGGGCTACACATACAAGAGTACAAAAATCAGCAAAAGTATTCTGTGAGAAATGGTTGGCTAAATAGAAGTTACAACAAAGAGGATCATATGTTTCTACTTTTATAAACTGTGTGCTCTGCTGTTGTTCGGTCGCTGAGTCATGTCCAACTCTTTGCAACCCCAGGGACTGCGGCACACCAGGCTTCTCTGTCCTTCACTATCTCCCTGAGTTTGTTCAGACGCAAACTGTGTATGACCCATCCTCTAGATCAGTAACATGTAGAATAAACCTAGGAACTTGAACACCCACGCACGCCTCTTGAATCTGCTGTTGACCATCTACCTGAACATCCCAGGGGACGCCAATAAATAAGGACGTCATGATCTTGCCTCTCATGGAGCACAGACTGATTCAGCTAATGACAAGAGATGTAAAATACTTGCTCTAACCCATGTTTAATGTTCAGAGAAAACATCAGTGTGTGAAAAAGCTAGGAACACTCATGAGACTCAAATCATTCTTTCCACTTTATTTTTTCTTGATTTAGATTTAATCTCCTAGAGGCTCCAGTAGACACCACTGGGATAAACAGCCTCTGAGCATCACTCCGATGGGGCTTTTCTCTCTGATCTTGAGAAACTGCAGCAGGGAACTCTCCTGTCTGTGAAGAGGCCAGTGACCTATTTCCCACCACCCGCTGCCCTGAGGCCAGGGGCCTGGGCAGCCATCGCTGCAGCTGGGTCACGTGACTGCGCTCGAGGGCGGCTTAGAGGGACCATGGGGGTGGGGGAAGGATGATGCAACACCACGCAGGGCCCCAGAGCCCGCCCTGGGCCTCCGAAAATCTTTCTCATTCCAGGGCAGAAATAGGAGGGGGAACTCCAAGTAATTCCGGCTTCGCTGGAAGCATTTAGCAAGTGACAGAGCTCCTTCTAAAGGGAAAATATACCTCCACAGCAATCAATAGTTTGGGACACAGCTTACACACACTGTAAATGTATAAATGAGTCCATTCTAGTTCGTGCTGAACTGGAGCAGTTTCTGAGTGTGATGACCTGCTTCCCATAAGAATATATTTTTGTGAAACCTAGCCTATCACTTGTGTGCTAAGTCGCTTCAAATGTATCTGACTCCTTACAACCCCATGGACTGTAGCCCGCCCGGCTCCTCTGTCCATGGGATTCTCCAGGCAAGAATACTGGAGAGGGTTGTCGTTCTCCAGGGGATCTTCCTGAACTAGGGATCAAACATGAGTCTCTGACGTCTCCTGCATTGGCAGGCAGGTTCTTTACCATTAGCGCCACGTGGGAAGCATATCACTTGGTAACAGCAAAAGAATTCAAAGAAAATATGATTCTGATCTTAGGTAAAGTCTACAGAAATTAAATGATAATTGAATAGCTTCCAATGAATTAAATGTGAGCATTATTTTTCAAAGTTTTTTTTTTTTAGTTAGGTTGCTGAAGCAGTATTTCAAGCAAGAGGATCTTTGTTTGTTCCTTTTGGTTTTATAATACAGAATCTCATTCCCATTGTCTTGCCCAAGGTATGAAATTCAAGGTAAACAACCCTGCCTTGACTCACTCCTCTAGCTAACAAGAAGGTTTATAGCTTCTGACCCAAAAGATTAGAATTAGCTTGAAAGACTGGTCCTATCTACAGTAGTAAAAAACTTAATTAGAATAAATGCAAAGTTCTTTCCCAAGTCTCTCAGGTCTAAGACCACATGTTACTGGACGTGTGGTTTATCCAGAGTTAATTAGCCTAAACTTGATATTATCTGCTGGGATGATGGCCACCAGTATGGACACCACTATGCCAGTTTGATCTCATAGTTCTGGCATGTGGCCTTACCAGGACAGAGAATCGAATAGATTTATTCTGAACTCGTTGATGCCACAGAGAGTCCTGCACTCATTTCTTATGTGACATATTGACAAAGCAAAAATCTCTGAAAGTAAGGTGACCAGAATGGCCAATTGTCCATTAAAGGAAACACATATGGACAGGTTGTGGAAATAAGGTTATTTAAATGGCACAGACACAGAAAGCACTCTAAGCTACTTCTCAGTCTTGGAAGGGTATTCTCAGTGAACCAGGAGGTGTGGCTCCATAATACAAAGGTAAACTAAAGCACTGCTCCCAGCGGCTCTGAGATCTCCATCTTCAAAAGATTAAGGCAGAGACCAGATTTTGCCGAGGAACTTAGAGCCTCGAGGCTAGGAACTGGAAGCATTTGTCTCTTTTCAAATATCAAGTCTGTAATTCTATAAAATCTTGCTCACACGCCAGGATTCAGAGACCACCAGCAAGAGAGCTGGGTTCCAATCCATGTTACGAGAAAAGTTTAGATTGGGAAGGCGGCATGCAAAACAGTCAAAGGAAAGAATGAACAGCAGAAGCAGTGCATGAAAAAGAGAAGAAGTGATGCAACGAATGTGGTCAGGTATCAGGACGCTGAGAACCAGGCTGGGAAGACACTGGGGAATAAGAAGAGGGAAGCTAGAATTCGGGGAGAATGATGAGATGTCCCCAGGCCACCATATCTGGAGGTCACAGCCTGGGGAGTGACACGGCACGGGTGGGGCGCAGAGTCATGGGCTGTGTGGACCTCAGAAACCAAGTCGCCTCCAGGCTGGAGTCCCCTGCGTGAGGAAACCCCTCAGTAGTCAACAAAGTGTCAAGGTGCACCCCAGAGGAAAAAGTATCTCAACGACTGCAGTTTCAAAATGGAAATTTCAAGGCCAGTTTAACAGGCCTAAGAATTCCAACCACCCCCCCTCCATTTTAACAACATATTCAGGCATGAAAATCTATCTCGGTCACATGTGTCTTTCAAAAGCATTTCTGGCATCATTTGTCGGCTGCTAGATCATTAACTTCTGAAACCTTGATTAATGCTCCCCAGAGTTCAACCTTATATCCCACTTAACTCGTTTTATACTCACTGCTTCAGATCTGCCTTTGCATTTTATAAATGATGGAAAATAAAGCAAAAAGGAATATTTATTTCAGTGCACTAATAATGTAACCTAACAACAGATCACAACTGTTGTCCATTTTTTTATTTCCTTATTTGATTACATGCTTAGGATTCACATTAAGGAGTAAATAAAACTGAGCAAGCGTCTACCTACTATTGCCACAAATAATGCAAGCTCTCACAAGCTACATAAAGCTGTAGGATTTCCTTCAGACAACGGTAACTCTCGTTGTTTGTTGTTGTTTAGCTGCTCAGTCATGTCCGACTCTTTTGCAACCCCATGGACTGTGGCCTGCCAGGCTTCTCTGTCCATGGGATTTCCAAGGCAAGAGTACCGAGTTGCCGTTTCCTTCGCCAAGGGGTCTTCCCGATTCAGAGACTGAAGCCCCTCTCCACACTGGCATGCGGGTTCGTTACTATTGAACCACCTGGGAAGTCCCAAAGGCAATCTAATTGCAGTTTCATTTCTTGAGCCAACACATACACTGTGTACCAAGCTAATCTCATAAGTGATGCACAAAACATTTTTAATGCTTACAGCAAAATGGCCCATTTATTTTGATAAATGTTTACCCAAAGCTATCGCTTGTATTATTATGGACTTGTAAATAATAAGAGAGAAGATATTACTAATCCCTATATATGTGACCATACATCCTTTATGATTTATAAACTAGCCACAAAGAAATAAGCCATGATTTTGTACCATGATCAGAGAAGCCACTCTTATAGACCATCTATCATTTCTATTTCTTGCCACTTTCACCCTTGAGGAACAGTTTTCAGGGACTCTGACTTTTCTCCCTGTTCCCTCATGGCTAAAGTCCTTCCTATACTGATTCCTGCTCCTCCTAGGAGCAAAGCCAATTCTCCTTGGTCCTTAAGGCCTCAGACTATAAGACATTCCTGAGTTAAATCAGATTTGCTTAAGTTTATTGCAATTACCCATAGTTCTATCTACTAATCTAGTTATTATCTCTCTCTCTCTCTATATATATATAGATAGATAGATAGATAATCTGTTGATTTATTTTCTTCTACCTATGAAAACAGAGAAACTGTCTTATTTAGCATTGTTGTATCCTCTGGACTTAGTACTGATATGCAGAAGTTGATCCTTAAATAATTTATTGAACACATCAATGAAAGAAGGAATACAGTCTTGAGTTTTCAAGGAATACTGGTTTTAATACTGATTTTAAGTTTAAATATGGAAGTTTGGGGCTTCCTCAGGTGGCACGAGTGGTAAAGAACCCACCTGCCAATGCAGGAGACCTAGGAGACATGGGTTCAAGCCCTGGGTCAGGAAGATCCTCTGGAGAAGGGCACAGCAATCCACTCCACTATTCGTGCCTGGAGAATCCCATGGACAGAGGAGGCTGGCGGGCTGTGGTCCATGGGGTCGCAAAGGGTTGGACACGACTGAATGACTTAGCATGAACACAAGCATGGAAGTCTATATTTAAGTGTAAATTTAAAGGTAAAATTAAATTATTCTGATGCAATGGATTTCCATGACATTTCAGTCAAGGAGAGAAATAAAGACAACTGGAGATTTTCTTGATAGTTAGGTTTTTATAAATATCCTCACTTGGCAAGAAATGTGAGAGGCCTCTAGAAACTGGGGCTCTTAACGGACAGCCCACGAGCGAAGAGCCACCAGAAACTGAGCTTGGCCAACAGCCTGCATACATTCAGAAGAGGCCTCGCCCTGCGGACGGGAACCAGCCCGGCCAGCAGCAAAGACCACGGCTGACTGAGCCGAGCACCCATCCTGCGGTGCCGGGGCCCGACCTGCTCGGGCTGTGTGTCAGTGAGACGTGGGGCTGCCAGTGGCTGAGTTTGTGCAATTTGTTAACGGTTGAAAAATGGAGATATTGTCCTAGAGGTGATCTGATAGGGAACTATATTCGATATCCTGCAATGAATGGTAGTGAGGATGATGGTAAAGAACATGACAAAGAATAGATACATATGTATGTATAATGAAGTCACTTTGCTCTACAACACTTCTGTTCAGGTCAGTCGCTCAGAAGTGTCCGACTCTGCGACCCCATGAACTGCAGCACGCCAGCCCTCCCTGTCCATCACCAACTCCCAGGGCTTACTCATACTAACATCCATCAAGTCGGTGATGCCGTCCAACCATCTCATCCCCTGTCGTCCCCTTCTCCTCCCACCTTCAGTCTTTCCCAGCATCAGGGTCTTTTCTAAGGAGTCAGTTCTTTGCATCAGGTGGCCAAAGGATTGGAGTAAAACAGAAACTGACACAGCATTGTAAACCAACTAAACTTCAGTAAAAACGAAAAGAAAGATGATGTGGATGCCGAAGATGCTAGCCCAGCGCCCGCCTTAGCCAGTGATTCACAAATGCAGCCCCTGTCCCCATCCTGTGGCTGGATCATCACTTTGCATAAACCTTACACACACCACACTCTAAGCTCAAACCCATGCCTCACGGCAAGTTACGCTTTGCCAATGAACTTCAGGAAAGGAGGACTAATATAAGCACAGAGGAGACAGGTGTAATTGTCTGCACTTTACAAGTAAGAACACTCACAAGACGTCCATACTCACATTTGGAACACTCTTCTGTCTCCTAGCCTGGGGTCTGGGTTTCAGAGAGCAACTTCCCCACATTTGCCTACACTCTGTAATAAAATAGCTATGGCAGTACATGCAGCATCACAAATATTATAACGCAATATTTATACTTACATATAGCATATATATATGTATATGTACATGCACACAAATGTATAACATAGATAGGTTCACATACATATATGACAGGTCTTCTGACAAAAAATTAGCAGATCCACTAATTTCCATGAAAAAAATTGCCAGTACTTTTTTTAAGGTATGTGTTCAGTTACATTTGATGATTCTTTATACAATTGTGTACTTTTTTAAAAAAACAGCTTGTAATGACATTAGTTTGTTTTCTCGTTTTGGATAACATACTTTGTCCAATGATGTCTTAGGCTCGGGAAACTATAAATCGGTATTAAAGTGTATTTTCAGTCCTCCAAGAGTTATATCCATTTCATAGACTATCAAAACCAACAAAAGCCCTGGAGAAAACTTTCAAGCCAAGAAACAAATGCTATAAATCACTGGTTGCTTTGAAATGTGCACACATCTGTCAAACTGTTAGAACTGAGGAAGCTGAAGGCGGTTGGCAGCCTCAACTAAAGAAACCCTCTAACAGGGACTGTCACCCATTCAGAGACAAACATTAACTCCATTGCATAAGCTATCTAAGTGATGCATGCTTTAAAATGTGTGAGCTACAATACAGAAATAAGAATGTGGAAGGCATGCATATGATTCTCTCAGTGAGAAAGTAAATAGCACTAACAAGAAGCTTGGAGTTGTTCACCCATACCATGATGTATGCTATAAAGCCTTTTAATTCATATTATTCTCAAATTTAATTTTTTGTAAAAAACTTGGTATTTTTTTTTGGAGTATAGTTGGTTAACAATGTTTGATAGTTTCAGGTGTACAAAAAAGTGATTCAGTGATATATGTACACGTATCTATTCTTTTTCAAATTCTTTTCCATAATGATGGCCAAAGATTATCAGTGACGATGCCAAGAATCAGAAGATTCAAAACAAGAGGTACCCCAGAAGAGAGTCTCAGAACACGTACTTACTGTTGTTCTTGATAATTCAATAAGCATCTTTAATAGGTAGTACATAAAACAGAGAGGTAGACAGGGGAGGGGAAAAGAACATGAAAGAGCTGTCTTTAGAGCACAAGAAGAAATACTGCATGGGCAGAGAATGAGTTGAAGACATGAGGACAGGGAGAGACAGAGAAGTACTGCATTTCTGCAGATTACTCAGCTCCACAGCAGTTTAAAGAACAAATTGGCAGGCAGAAATCAGAAACAGAACACAGTTGCTGAGAAGGGCACGGAGCACCCTCTGAGACAAATGTGCAGGAAAGGAAGTGGCAGCAATCTCTGCCAATGGCACTGACGCCCAGCAGACAGAAAACGGCAACGGGTTATCACAATAGAATGCAACGGAACACAGGGAAGCACAACACAGTTACTCTGAGACACAGCAGTTCCTTTAGATGGCAGTGTGTCTTAGAGAACCAAGGTGGTGAACATCCTGGCCACTCACGATAACCACCCACGTGGTCTTGTGCTAGCTGAGAATAACTGAGCCACAAGGAAAGTCTCGACTCAGTAAGGTTGGGACTTCTTGGAAAAGCCCCTCAATACTTCTTTTCATATACTGATTCTCGGGATAACAAAATGGAACTTTCTTCCTTACCCAGCTTTTAAAATTGCAGTCATCTTTTCATTCTTCTAAGCAAATAATTTTTGAACTGTGGTATTGGAGGAGACTCCTGAGAGTCCCTTGGACTGCTAGGAGATCCATCCAGTCCATCCTAAAGGAGATCAGTCGTGGGTGTTCATTGGAAGGACTGATGCTGAAGCTGAAACTCCAATACTTTGGCCACCTCATGCGAAGAGCTGACTCACTTGAAAAGATCCCGAGGCTGGGAAAGATTGGGGGCAGGAGAAGGGGACGACAGAGGATGAGACGGTTGGATGGCATCACCGACTCAATGGACAGGAGCTTGAGTAAACTCTGGGAGTTGGTGATGGACAGGGAGGTCTGGCGTGCTGCGGTTCATGGGGTTGCAAAGAGTTGGACACGACTGAGCGACTGAACTGAATTGAACTGAAACAAATAATATCCAAAATTTTGACCAAATTTTAAAAATATTGCACCAAGGAGCATAAAGCATGTGCTTGTGTGGCTGGTACTGATCCAGCTTTGTGATACAGGAGAAGGTATCAGGATGTTTTCCTTATTAACTGCAGCGTTAATGAAAGGTTTTTCAGCATTATGACTAAAAACTTTAGGATTTCATCCCATCGGTGTGCAAATTTTCTAAGAGCTTGTTTTTCTTATGAATGGGAAATATACCTTGATTTTTCGTTCATTTAGAACTAAATTTAGTTGGGATCAACTCAGCAATGGATTCAGATATTGTTTGCTTGGTCACTGGCAGCCAGAGCTATGCTATTTTGGGGTGAGTCCCTGGTGTCTTCTGTTCCTTTGATTTTACTAAGCCATTTATTTGCCAAGTTGTGTTTGTAACTTTTTTCTTCTGTAAAATATTTCTGAATTTGTCAGACACACACACATACCCCGGGAGCATCTCCTTCAGTAGTTTATTGCTTCAACTGTATTTCATCCCTCAGTCATAGAATATACATATTTTTTAAAAATCTATAATGAATTGAACTTAAGATAAAGATGTTAAATAAACCCTCATTATAAACAGCCATATACATATGTGTATGACATCATCAAATTTTAACTGGGACATTGTCTTCCGGCTATGAGGTCACATTCTCTGCCTCTCCTTGGAACCAGAGACATCATAGGGCTAAGCTTCACCCGGTGAGACACAGGCAGAAGAATCACAATGTCCTTATGGGAACAGGATGTGACTGTTTTGTCCCCCTTCTTCCAGCTGCTTCCCATGTGCAGGAACCAACTGGACCTACCAGAGCCACCTTGGAGCAGGAGCATCTCGGAAACGAACCACCAATGGGTGACCATTATAGAGAGACGCTGGCTCTCTGGCTCCATGAAGCTGCCCGCCAGTCCTAACTGCCTGAAGCTACTTCATTCACCAAGGAAGGAAGACATTTCCTCTTTGCTTAAGGCGCTGTGGCTTAGGTCTCTGTCACGTGTTGCCAAACATAATTCTAATTAATAGAACATCAGGACCTGATGGCTCGAAAGGAAACATTCATTCATGAGGGGGGATATCTCTCTGAATAAATACGATATTCTTATTTTCAATAGGCTTGAAGTATCTTTTTAGTTACCCAGATGTTTATTAATGCAGGTTCTTAAATTTACTGAAAATTTCTACCCTTGGACCAATAAATCAGTCTTACAGCATGACACAAAAATAAATTTTAGATTGAACAGCATTATCCTTTGTATATTTTTAGTCACTAAACAAGAAAAAAGAAGCCACTGACATTTATCTGCCCATCTAAAAAGGATTTATTACCACATCATACAAAGTTTTTGCTTTCCACCAGGAAAATTAACATAATTAGGATGTGTCATTAAGATAACATATTAACAATTATGATAGACATTCAATTTGGTTACAACATAGAATTGCAAATACTGGTTTGGGACATCTAACATGCCTACTATCTTCTGGAGTGCAAGGTGACAGATCCCAGGAGAAAGAAAAATGATGTCATAAAAGAATTATCACAGAGAAGAATGATAATCAGATTTCCTAGGGAAATGACCTTCTTTTAGCTGAAATCATTCTCTAGTTTACAGGAAACAAGTAAAAGTTTTAGGGGCTTTCCTGGTGGCTCAGTGGTAAAGAATCCACCTGCCAATGCAGGAGACTTGAGTTTGATCCCTGAGTCAGGAGAAGGAAATGGCAATCCACCTCAGTGCTCAACTGGAAAATCCCATGAACAGAGAAGCCTGGTGCGCTACAGTCCATGGGGTCACAAAGAGGCGAACAGGACTTAGCAACTTTTGCTTCCAACCAAAGAAGGGAGGGAAGGATTTGAGAAATGTTGCAAATAATGGCCTTATAGTACTTAGTGACTGATTAGATGTGGGGGGAGAGAAAAGAGAAAATTCAGATCAGAGGCTCCCCAACACATCTGTGTAACTGATGGGTAATGTGCCTCATATAGTATGGTTATGTGTATAAAATATGCACATAGCTTTAAAAGTTATAGCTACAAAAAT